GTTTGTTAGTTAACCCTTTTTTTTCTGCAGACCTAAATCAGCTTGTTCATTTTCTTGATGTTGAGCAGTGAGTTGTTTTTGTGCACCAGATAAATGTGAAACAGATGAAACACTTTTATTCTTTTACAGATTAAAAAAGCATCCAAAAGGTGCACAGAGCCTTTTGTTTTTCATTTCCTCTTTTCTCTCTAAGATGACAGACAAGTGCAGTCAAATAAAATGATTCTCAATTTCTTCTCTGACTTTTCTCTCTTTAGAAAAACAGCTGATGGGACAGCGCTCAATACTGTTATTTGTTTTGTTGTAAATGTATTTGGGTTTATTTTAGTTTTCACTCTGTCATTCATCACTAAAATTAAATATCTTGGCAATATTTAACTTTTGTATATGCAGTGTTAACACTCTGCAGTTTGCAGATTTTTGCAGTCTAATCATTTTATCTTCTGTGTGGTTTTATTCCAAGACTGTAAATCTGATTGTGCACTAATAATATTGGTGGAAATTCAAATAAACCAGTCTAATTATCACATATCATTCGTTGTCTTAGATTTACAGAATGTATTTATTGTGTTAAGTGAAATTTGCTCAGGATAAACATGACTGATGTTTATCAATGTGAGCTGCTTGTTTGTTTAATGCTGATAAGTGCTCTGTTAAAAACACATTACTTCTGTATCTCACTACCTTTTCTTTAAAATATATTTGGATAATTTTTGATTATTTACATTTAAAAGAAACCTCTAAAGTCATGGCTGCCATTCACCAGATGATAGTATTACTACAATCACTTCCCACTGGTCTTTAAACTTAATTGGTCATTTGTTTAATATTTGAGGTTTAGCCTCCTGACACCTGAGTTTTTGTTTGCATTTTTAATTTCTTCTATCTGCTCGTTAATAATTGGATCTGAAACACAAACTAAGGTTCCTCTTTAAAAAGATAGTCATGACCTTTTTAAACAGGCACAGAAACAGTGAGTGAAAAGTGAATTTGTTCAGAATGAAGATACAGGCTTATCCAATGCTTTGATTCATATCTGTGGAAACATGATTTCATATTTGAGTTTCCATATTCACAACAGCAGCACTGTTCTTCACAGTTTCACATTTGTCACTGCTCTGCTGCATTTAGTTTGTTTTCTACTTTAGAAATCTTATAAATGGTGTTCTGAAACTGGCACAAACTGTATGTGAAAGAAAAAGAGTTTCAAAAATGACTTTTGAAAGGTCAAACTCAAGTATTTGAAATTCTTGTACTTGCAAGATGCAGTGTTTCTTTTTTAATAATAATAATGGATTGCATTTATATAGCGCTTTTCGAGACCCCTCAAGGCGCTTTACAATTCTGATATTCATTCACTCTCACATTCACACACTGGTGGAGGCAAGCTACAGGTGTAGCCACAGCTGCCCTGGGACAGACTGACAGAAGCAAGGCTGCCATATCGCGCCATCGGCCCCTCTGGTCAACACCAGTAGGCGGTAGGTGAAGTGTCTTGCCCAAGGACACAACGACCACGACAGAGAGCCCAGGGATCGAACCGGCGACCTTCCGGTTACAGATGCGCCTCCCAACCCCCTGAGCCACGGTCGCCCCGAAACCAGTGCTTTTACTTACGTATAACATCACAACGTCCACTGTGGAAGTGCATCAGTGAGCGATGAGCTAATGTAAATGGGTCTGTACCGTCAGTGTGTTCAGCAGCACCAACTAAAGACCACACCTGCAGGGAGTGTCACAAAAACAGTACATGCACACACACACACCAGGACCGGACTTCCCAACTGCTGGCTGTGGTGAGAAATAAGGACTCACCACACCACTACTGGACCCGTGGAGGTACACCTGAACTGTTGTTTCCGCTCACCAGGGCGGCCGCCAGAACTGTTTTACACCGCCGCTGGAAACGCAAACAGGTATTTGAACTATTAGACCAGGGGTGGCCAACTCCAGGCCTCAAGAGCCGGTGTCCATCACAGCTGATTTAAATGGCTAAATTACCTCCTCAACATTTCTTGAAGTTCTTCAGAGGCCTGGTAATGAACTAATCATTTGTTTCAGGTGTGTTGACCCAGGGTGAGATCTAAAACCTGCAGGAAACCGGCTCTCGAGGCCTTGAGTTCAACACCCCTTTATTAGACTGAGACCCTTTTGTTGTTTGGGCGGAAATAAATGTCTGTCTATCTGTCTTTCTTTCTGCATTGCATGCTGGGAGTTTGGTGGTGGAGCATGTCGTGAGTAGGATTGAGAGACTGAGAGCTGTTGTTTATTTCATTTTTTTTGGTCACGTTTCTATTATTATATAGTAGGATTGTTTTCTCTGTTAATTATTGTTTTGCGCCTGTGGATTTGGGTTAGAATTGACGGTTTCTTGGGGGTCTTGGTGTCAACTCTGCAGGGATGGTGTCCCCACGCCATCCCTGTCTTTGAGACAGTGAGAGTGGTGCCACAGCTCAGCACTTTGGTGGAGCAGGTGCTGTTGGCGGTTGGGGACAAAGTGGGGCATGATAACACCGCGTACGCCTCCTGGATGAATAAAGGAGTTGTTGTTTTTGTTAAGCAACCTGAGTTTGTTTTTTCACTTATTGAAAGTAGGATTTCAATAAATGATGAGTTTCTTCAAGTTTCCCCCTTGGCGGTACTGTCCACACGGATTACACTGTCTGGAGTTCTGCCTTCACCAACCAGATTTTGAGTATACCACTCTACCACGATAGTGCAGTTTGATGGTGTCATCAAGCTGTGTCTGTTTTGGTCAAAAGCATCGCAGCGGCTGCAAACAACATCATCTACAAATTATGCCGAGCAACAGTAATAGCAAAAAGACTAAGCACTTTTGGAATATGGGGAAAGCCAGGAACTGCGCTTCCTCCACTTTCATACCATTGATTCATTAATGCTCAATTCTCTCCCATGTTGTTGCAGTATATTAATGACTAACTTCGTATTGTGGATGGATTATCTCAGTTGTTCTCCTGACTGAAGTTTGGTCCGTTTATAGCATCCTGCCATGCGATTGCATTTGTCCCTGACCACCAGAATCCCTCACGTTAACTTTTATCGAGTGGAAAAACGTTAGCATTCGTCCTTCAGCTTCACTGTGCTAATGTTATGCTAACGTAGCTGTTTTGCTAGCAATCACGTAGGACATCAATATATATCAGCTAGTCCAACTTCAGTAACCCTACAAACGTCACTGCTGTTTAGTTTTCTCTCTTAATTTATGTTGGAAGTGATAGGAGAGCTGTACGTTTAAATTTTTTCAGCAATCTCTCAGTCAGAACATGGCATATCATGCTTAGGTGGAAACTAGCGAGCTAACTTCCTGCTAACTTCTAACTCTGTTAACTTTAATAAATTCTGTTTTCATGGATGCCTGGATGTTAAACTTAATTGTTACACCTTGTAAAGCAGCAACACTGATCATTTTATTGAAGATGAAAGAATTTGGACAGTTTTTAACTCTCAGTGATGCCGCAGTGTTCGTTTGACTTTTGGGACCTGAAGCAGAGTTTTGGGCCCAGATTACTCCGCAAGGCTCCTGACTATGGCAGCCGTAATGCTCTGGCTATCCATCAGGAGGTGCACCTTCGTAGTTTACCAAAGTCATACTGAAACATTTTTTGACAGATTTCTGCATGCCGTGTACTACGTAAAATCGGTTCGAGGCCAGTAAGCACAACCAGAATTCATACATAAGGCACACTGTCGATTTTTGAGAAATTTAAAGGATTTTAAGTGTGCCTTATAGTGTGTAAAATACGTTATACAGAAGTAAAAAACTATATATCGCGATACATATCATTACCGCACATGCTTCAAATTATACCGTGATATGGATTTTAGGCCATATCGCCCAGCCCTAGGCTGTAGACAGTTGAAACGCTGCCCCCGGTCACCAACTCCCAATCCAACATCTTTCCGCTCTGCCCTCAAGAGTTGCATGCATTGGACACCCCATCACGCACAATTCCTGCAACAGACTTTTCCTGTTCCAACATGACTATGCACCAGTGCAGAAAGCAAGGTTCAAAAAGACATGGATGAGTGGGTTTGCTGTGGCAGTAGAAAATGGAATTTTAGAGATTGCAGGGAATTTCCACAGGAGAGTTCATAGGAGAGAGAGTGAGCTTTTACTTGGACATGGTGAGGAGGGCCACTGGGAGGGTGGGAATGCCAGTGGAAGCTGCAGGGGAGTATTCTGATGATTGATTCCACAGGAATCACCCTGCTCCGAGAGGACAGGAAAGGGAGTCTGAGGGCAGATGATGATGATGATGATGATGAGGCAGATGAGCAGCAGGTGAGCTGGATTTCTATTCCTGGATTCCAACATATGATTCCACCCAGAGAAGGAGTTTATTTAATTGAATTTTGGGTTCACAAACTGGCCTGTTTTCTCCTTAAAATCTGATGTTTTACGTTGTTGATCTATCACTATGGATCATCTTAAAAGCATATCCAATGTAGTTTTTCAAAATTGGGCCTTCAAAAGTTTCTTACATAGGGGCCATAAAAAGCCCAGATTAGCACACAGAGAAAGATGACAGGTGGACTATTTCTAACTATTTCTTGTTTTAACAGTCTGCCACATTGATGCAGCTCTGCTCTTTAAATTACATACAAAGAAAAATACAATTTAGCTAATTTAGATTTTATTTGAACAAAACAATAAACCCCAAAACAAGTGGAATCTGTGAACTAGTGCCCCTTTCACTGCAGGTGACAAAAAACTACCTTAACACCACTGATACTGTACTGGTGTACATATCCACTTACATCACACCATAATCTAACTATTGTTTTTCTGAGAAAACCTTTTAATAAATGAAAACAAATTGGAACTTCTTGTCATTCATCATGATTGAAGACGAAGAACATGTAAGTACTGCAGGATCCTCCACAAACTCTGTCTTGTGCTAATCTAAAATTGTACTACTTCTCATTAATGAACTATGGATTTTAGTTTAGGCTTCACAGTTTAGGCCTCACAGGAAACTCTAACTTGATTGGCCTTTAAACCTGCTCCTCCTGCTCCTCTGTGTCATCTGTCTGCGCTGCAATGATGGACTTCAGGGCTGTCACGTTTTCATAAACAGGATGAGAGTCTGACTAACAGAGAGAGAAAATGATGAGTTTTTAAGATTTTTCTCCTTTTTGGCATATTTTATGAAAACATTTTGTGAGCTTAATTTGTGTGTTAATACCTACAGTTCTACTCACCTACTCACCATTTTCCTTTAAATGTAAGTAACTTCATCATCAATAATAAATGTTTTCCAGAACATTAAACACTTAATGAGGGTGGGGCTCTTACCTGCATCATCTCTTTACTTTCATTTAGTTCATTGTTTAAGACGATAATTTTCTTTTTCCTGGATTCAACCAAATAACAAAAAAATCACAATAAATGGTATCAATAATTTTCAAAATAAATGTTTAAAAAGGAAAATAAAATGTTGATTTAATGTGAGTTATATATTTATGTAGTCTTACCTCATCCACAGACTTAGAACAAGCAGAGGAATCAGGATCAGGACCACCAGAGTCAGCCTGATGATATTCCCTATTATTATTACAAATTTCTCTAAAAATGAAAAAAACAGAAAGGAGCGAGGTATTTCCAATGAGATTAAATTGATAAATCAGATGTTCATGTAGTTTCCTCTTACTGTATAACACAGATTTCAATATAGACATTTCTATGATCTATATGCATTTTTTTGTTGGATCAAGGAGTGTAAAAGCTACCTTTCAAAACAATTAGCTGAGAGGTGGAGTTCTGATGTCCTCTGCTGTTGTGGGTGACACAATAATAACTCCCACTGTGTTCGAGTCGGAAGTCAGTGATGGTTAAGTTCTCTCCAAATCCTTTAGGTGAGTCTTCATCCTCCTTGTACCAGGTGTAATTAGCTGCTGGGTTAGCATCACTGCTACAGGTCAGAGTGACTGAACTGCCCTCCACTATCTCAGCAGAGGGACTCACTGACACAGAGGGAAGCTTTGGAGCATCTGGAAGAGGAAACATGTTTAGGTTTTTGATATTTTAATA